AGTACGCGGAGTATCTGGGGAGCTGGAAGATGAGAACTGGCGACTTTCTAGTACAACTTTAGTACAAGCGCCAAGCAGCATACATCCACCCACACACTGATACACACTGACGAACAAGCGCATACACACAAACACACACCTCACGTACACACAGAGACCTTCACGCCTTATATCTGTCTCGCCTGTCTCTTCCCCACGCTCACTCTTCCGCACTTTACCCCTGCAGCCTCAATCTTTCGAAGTTGTTCACATGTGGGGTTATCCGGTCCTATAATTTATGTTTGGCGACCACTCAGGATTGGACCCTGTCCTTGTGGCCGGGAACCGTGTTGATTTTCCCTTCCTGGCTGGGACATTGGGCGTGAAGCCCCAGCCAAGTCAGTTCACAGTTGATCAGGCCTTGAATCTAGGCACTCAGTCAGAAGCACTTCTTACTTGAAGCCATAGCAACACACCATCGAACAGCCAAGTAGCGCTCAAATTACCGACGTTTGCGCACAAGAGCAATCCAACGGCGTCAAAGGTCCTGAGATACGTGTGCAAGGTGGTTTTACTTGGCCAATGCATCACTGGAACGCACGTGATTCTGGAGAACGAGATTAATTATACATATTTACATCATATTTGGATCCTTTGTGCAGGCAAATCACCACGTTTGTACGGAACAGACAGAAAGCTGTTTGGACTGAGATATCCCCAAGTCTGACAAGTTTCTTTCTGTGAATATCCTATGCAGATGTCGCTGACAATGTTTGCCATTTTCTGCAAGGTGCCTCCGAATGCTGCACCACTGCAGCGCATCACTATCAGCTTCAATGCAGGTTTCACAGCAAGGGACGTCACTGATGCAGGGACAGAGATGGATGCAGCAAGTGGGACCCTCATCCATGGTTTTCTTCGTTGCAACCGGTGTAACTAGTGGGTTTTGTTGGCTTTCATTACAGTGACTATCGAGCTCATCCTTTTTGTCATACCAGCCAGGTCTCAAAGAGAAGATGGCAAGGTCTGGAGTGGATGTGTTTGGACACAGGCGCATTGATGTTCTCTTCAAGCACGTTTCCTTTATGGCTCCTCTTCGCAGTCCTGCCTGGGGCTTTGTGTATTGAGAGATGTTTTCTAGGTTGTGAAAGTGTATGTCTTTGGTCCACTGGATGTTCTTTCTCCACAATCAGTGGTCAGGTGACTTTGATTCAAGAATTGATGCTGGTGCTGGTGTCCTAGGCCTGGGACCAGAGCCGGAGCATGCATGCCGCATGCCACTGTAATCCTGATTCTTTAAACAAATCAGATCTGGTTTTTGTGTCTGTGACTCGGATCTTGAAGATCCTTATGTATGTGACGCAGGCATCCTGGGCTTCAGGATTTCAGAACAAGTTGTTCAAAAGTAACACTTGCTCCCTGATGGTGCGTGCACCGCTAGCGACTCGCATGTTGTTGGCCATGCTCTTGGGCATGGCCGGACGCCCCTTCATTGCGTGGAGGGCAGTTTGGTCGCAGCACGGGCCGCCGTTGTTCGGTCGCAGCACAGGCCGCGCTTCTCGCATAGTCCGCCATCAAGGCCCAAGGCAGTTGGATTTGCCGAACATCCAGCCGCTCCAGATCCAAAATGCCCGGGCTGAGCTTGAGGCCATAATTTCCCAGGGCTTCTACTTCTACAAGCTACAGTATTTGCCACCTCATGTGCTTGAAGAGCTTAAAGCACAGCAACAACAATGGGGAATGAGAAGCTGCAGATCTTCTGAATGTTCTCGCGGGCAGAGTGACTGCCGAAACAGGAGTTCTGCCAACCACCATGGATTTGCGCGAGGTAGCATGTGGCAGCCACAAGAGCATCCTGCTGGTTGACAGCCCTGGAATCAATCAATGCCGACGAGGTTGCATCCAGTTGATTCATTCAGTTTTTAAAGACAATTTGCTCAATGTCTTTCTTGCATTCTGGCAGACTGTGCATCTCAGGCAGAAGGAGCACGTGCTTGACGAGGTCAAGCGTGCCGACTATGTCATGTTCCTCATGAAGGCAACTTCACTAGGAACAGAGTCCGAAGAAAAATTGGGGAAGCACTTGCAAAACTACTCAACTCCATGCATGTTTGTGTTGTCCCATTTGGGATCAAGTGGATGTCGAACAGCAGGAGCAAGTGATCGCTCATGCGCAGGCATTTGCTGCGAAGGCATTTCCGGGCAAGGAGACAAAGCTGTTTTGCATTGACGGCAAAACGGCTGAGAAAGCCATCAAGGCCGGTGGGCAGCATGATGAACAGGGATGCCAAGAACTAGAGTGCTTCCTTGAAGAGAAGCTCGCAGGTAAGAATCGTCAGCTTTGGTAAAAGCTAACTGCTAACTGGGCTCCGTTCACGGGCTGCAGCGGTTGTCAGGGAACACTCCAGACAGATTGAGGTTGAGGAAGAAAAGACACGTAGTGCATACAAGGAAACCATGAAAGGTCTCAAGCAAGAGAGAGAGGAGCTTGAGAGGGAGCAGCAGCAAAGCCTTGGAGAGGGAGCAGGAGAGGAACCTCGAAGACCTGATCGAAAAGAAGAACGAGTGGGAAACTCAAACAGAAGATTGTCAAGCTTACTTGAGCAGAAAGCGAGAGGCTGAGAAGGAAGCTGAGAGCAACAATGGTGGCGCGCTTGTTGTCAACCGCGGATCCCAAGGAGCACTTCTTGGGTCTTTGGCGGGTCCTGAAGGATTTTTTTTCGCTGGAACGGTGGGTGCCTTTTTGGGCGCGAAAGAGCATCAAGACGAAAAAACAGATGCGCGGCCAGCTAGAGAGCAAGAAGAAGAGAGGCTGAATGAGCTAAACCAGCACGTTGAGGAAACAAGGTTAGGAGGTCCATTTGTGGATTTCTAGGTGTCGTTCCACGTGTTGTCTGGTGTGTAGAAGCCTTTCGTAGAGGTCACGAACGGCATTGGCCTTGTGTCACTATGGAGAAAACTGCACAGCCTGAGTCACGAAAAGGAACAGTCGGATGGGGTGCAGCAAGGCCTTGAAGATATGGCATACCCATATGCCCCACTAAGATGCGAGCAGACCATGTCTCGGAGACCTTGTCCACAGTAGACGATCGATGCGACAATTGTGCGACTATGACGGTGGCGGTGGAGAAGATGTTTAGAAGCATTTCGTTGCAGCGTGCATGGAGTTGCAAACCGTGCTTCTCGTTAAAACCAGCTTCAGGCAGTTTGGAAGAGGGTAGCCAAGTGATATCTTCCAGGTAAATGCCTGCAACAAGACGCAGGACTATGTTGCCAACCGACGCAAAGTGCGTGCCCTACTTGCTTGCATCAGTGCTGCGGTTAGCGCGTCACATTGTTCAGGAACGACCTGCTGATTGCAAAAGACCTACAGAACAGGCCAATTTCAGTTCCTTTCATATCATCTCTCCAAAGGGAACAGCACAGCAAGTGCAGGGTTCCTTGGAACCTAATTTTGTGCGAAGATTCACGACTTGAATTATGATAGCACAGTTTGTTTAAGGCCCACTGTGGCACGCTGGACGCTTCCTCCAAAGGCCTTCCTGCTAACCACTGAATTCAACGCAAGCAGGTGGTATGTTGCTGAATTCAGTTGGTTTACTGTTTGTACCTAAGGATTAGCAAATATTCTGATGTAATTAATCTGTTCAGTTGGTGGAGGTTACTTCTGTTCATGTTGATGGAATGACACGAAGCTGTTCCTTAATTGGAGTCATTCCTGAAATGGTGTGAGATAGTGCAAGGGAGTTGGAGTTGGACTGCAAACAGGGTCGTCTCGTTGTCAGATCTTTATCAGGGCATAGCTCCTCATCGGGACCAATTTTTCTTGTGAGGTGAAGTCTTTCTTTGCGGCATTGACGGAAGATGATGGCTGGACTCCGCAAACCAATCGCAAGGCCGAGGTAGGGATGTAGGAGCCTTTCATGCCTTTCATGTAACCACTGGCCGTTCGATGTTTTGGCATTGAAGATGATCAGAGTAGCACTGCTACGTGCCGACACAGATCATCTACGGCGTGCTTTCAACTGGCATGAACAATTTGAACCTATCTTGGTGCCCCTGCCATGTTTGTGTGTTTTGTGCCCTAGCTAGGTCCTTGCAAACGTTATGTGTGAAAGTCGATGATGGTCGTTTAGAATCGTTTAGAGTTGTTCTTGGGTGGCCTGCAAAAGCTTTGATTACAGCTGCTGTTTTGGCAGGTATTTAAACCATTCCGATGATTCAAATATTGGATTTCGAGACGCCAGTATACGGTATATATCTAAGCGCCCACATGACATGATTGAAGAGCTCCAATTAGAGGTTCAGGAAATCCACTGAACAGTGGTCAGTTTTATTAAATGAGAGATTGGTTCTTGCAGCAATGCCGACATGTTCAAGGATGATCCATGACCATGGCCACCTGTAGAGGCTCTCAAGAAAGAATCGGACATCTCATTCAGACTTGAGGTGCAGGTCCATTTTGATCACCAACACCTCCTTTGATATCTTTAATTTCCTTGCTTTGCCTACTTCACTTCCTTGTACCAGTTACCCGACCGATGTTGCAAAAGGTTGGTAATAATAATACAGTGCCAAAAATACCTATTTCTTCTTATCATATGTCATTCATTCCCAGCACCCGGGATGAAAACTACGCGTTCAATCCAAGGCGGAAGAAGAAGGCGGATACAACTCCTTTGTCACCAGGCAAGTGATATTTGTTTATGTTTCAATCATATCGTTGCAGAACAAACATGGATGGTAGGAAGAGTTTGGGAAGAGGATTTCAGCTTGGGAGGTCAGGTTTGACTTAGGAAAACTCGGAAGCTTCCACATAATATTTGAATCAAAGGTTGCTGAATGAATCTAGCATAGCATAACTATGAATAACTACTTCAAGTCGATCCTTGAAGCTTACTTGATCATCTTGAGGGAGTCTTTTTGATTTTTGATAGTAGTTTTTGGAGTGGACATACTTTGTTAAGTCATATGTTATTCCCATGGATCGCATCTCCTAACGTCTCATGTGAACTCCAGGCGTGAGATCCAAGCTGGTGAGGAGCCCATCTAAACGTGGAAAGTAGTAGGCAGCATGTAAGTTGGATATCCTTCAAACAGAATACTTGGCCCAATATTTTGGGAATCATATTCTTGGCTGTAGAATTTCACAGGTCAGGGTTTATAGTCAAAAGTTATTTTGAAACAGATTTATAAGTTTTTTGAAAAGACGCCAAAAAACAAAACCTACAATCCCACAGAAAGATACCAGCAAGGTGAATCCAGAAGTTTGGACTCAGGAAACGTTGTACAAATACTAGGAACTTGCAGGAAAATGCAAACATACATACCAATCAAGCAAACCCTGGGCTCAACAAACTGCGCATGGCGCACGGCCATCTGTGAGTCTGTGTGAGCCAGCTTGTCTCTTTTTCCTCCTGTGACTAGCGACTTCTGCCTTCAGTCTATCATCAGCTCCGTGGCTTTGTTGGGTGACAAACGCTTCGCTCAAGCATCTTGCCCTACACCACGCAAACAACAAAGGTTTGAAAGGCAAGGCCTTTCACTTGGAGGCTGAAGTCTTTTGCTTCTTGTCATTGCAAAACATCGACTATCATTCCAAAAAAAGTTATAGTTAAAAACCATAACTGGCAGCTCTGGCTACAAACAAGAAAAACAAAAGCTAGTATTCCGATTCCTAAAAAAATATAATTCAAAAAAGAACCATACCTGGCAGCGCTGGCTACCAAAAAGTTATGATTCCAAAACAAGTTATAGTTCCAAAAAAAGAACCTTAACTCGCTGCACTGGCTACCAAAAAGTTATGAT